GTAAAGAGTGGCAGAACTTATCCTTCATCACGCCCGTGCTAACCAGTGCCAAGATATCGAGCGATTCAAAGCTGAGATGGCGGAACTAGTGACCAAGGTCCGGGGGAACACCATTGCCCTGGGAAAGGCAAGTGCACAGTGTCCCACCTTCACTTACCTGTAATCCAGTGCATCTTGGCTTTCAGAATGATCCATGTGGAAAGGTCAGTGAGGAGTTGCTGAACCTGTTACAGCTTGCATCTATTATTGCATCTAGTATTGAGCAAATTAATGCATGTTGTGTACTGCTGTGAGGTCAGACATTCTCAGCCTTCCTGGGCTAGCAAGTAAGCAGAACTGTGGGTCACAGCTGAACACCTTATCCCAGGCAGGGTGGGAGGGATCATACCTTGATGTTGGCTATTGCCAGCCCAATGGTCTTGACCAACACCAGAACAAAATGCTAACAAACACTTAGAAGAATCCTGCCTGTCACTCATGCGGCTCCATCTTCTCGACCAGAGTTTTTTGATCAGTTGTTAACTTCTTTTGTATTCCAGCTTCAAGTGGCAGATCTCCTCTCGAATGTCTTTAAACTATTGATGACCCATAAGGTGAGGTCCTGTCACTGTCTGCCTTCAATAGCTGGAAGCTCATTTGGGCAGGGAGAACATGGAAGGGCTGACAAGGAGGGGGACTGTGACTTCTGAAACGAACTGCTTGGAGGGGGACTGCAGGAGTGCACCCAGGTGTTGCAGGCATGCTGTTTCTCAGGTCTTGATACACACCCTACCAAGACCAATTTCTGTTTTGTTGGGTTTTGTCTTAATACTGCATTTAATGGTTGATATTACTTGCTAAAGGGAATGTTTCTGCAACACATAGTTTTTCCTATTTTTTTTTATAGTCCCTTAGAAACAAAAAATGAAATCTAATATATGTTCCACTTGTATATCATTGCATGCTTTCTTCCCTGGACCTCTTTCTTGATGTGGGGTTATGTAACAGCACTAGGCTCTTTTACTGATTTGTTAGAGACCTCAAGAGTGACGAGAAGTTCACAGAACAGAGATTCCTTCTTATAACTAGTAGTATTTTGGGGAAAAGTTTCCACGGTTGCAAACAACTTTGAAAATCAACAGATTTGAACAGCCTGAACTAGAGGAGATGAAAAGGTTGTCAGCCACAGGGCTGCCCAGCCTGCAAAGGGTCCTTCTAAACATTCCTTAGTTAGAGGTTTTTGTCATTAGGCTGGTTTCTAATAACATGAAATGTAATTTAGGCCCTTACAAAGCAAGTCCTCCCAACTCCGTGAACTCTTAATGCCCTGGTATGCCTTGAAACAATCCTGGTGCCTGGCTGGGAACTGAGGAGTAGTTTGTTCACGTGCAGAGCAGAGGACTGTTTCCTCTGTGGCCTGTGAGTGTCTTTTGTGGCCATTCAGAAGGTGAGCTCCCCCTTACGCAAATGCATGTGTTCAAGTATGTTGGATACTACTGCAGAAACGGTGAGCACTCGTAAGCTTCTGCTATTCCAGTATGGAATTAAAAAATAAAAAGTCCCATTCCCCTCCTTGAACCTGAAAACCAAACGCTCAGGTTGCCTTAGGGCACTTACCCTGAAACTATCACCTTATTTTTGGGCCTGCTGCTGGATTTCAGTGAGTCCTGAAACTCCAAGTGATGGAGTTGCAGTGTAGCTTCACGTGTACATATGCTCTCCTCAGCCTCCTCCCTTCCCTCTCAGCTTAGCCAGAGCTGGTACCTCTGTGCAATGGGCTCAGAAGAGAGCAAGGTCTGCTGAGTCCATTTAGTCTCTTCTGGTTCTAGGTGAAGCTCGAGAGCAATTTTGCTTCCATCATCTTTGCCATCATGGTTCTGGAAGGTCTTGGTCGTTCACTGGACCCTGAACTGGACATTCTAGAGGCAGCTAAACCACTGCTCATCAAAACTGCAGCTTCTGTTCTTGAATAGACCCTTGTGGCTGCTGCCCTCTCGCTGTGCAGGGTGACTTGTGCCGTCTGTGTGCTGGCAAAGAAGAAGCTGAAGGTGAGAAGTCACACCTATCTTGGGGACATACCATGCAGTGGTTACTTTCCATTAATGTTGCCTTCAGTTGTTTCAGCCAAGCACCAGGCGTGAGATGATTAGAAGGTTTATTGCAGAGACTAGGAAGACTTTGCACAATTGGAGAATTCTGACTCATTACATAGTTCTAAGAGCTGATGTGCTCTGGTAGTTTTTAAACTGACCTATCATGTAATTTAGGTGCACAAGATCACCGCAGCCTGATGAGAAAAGCAGTCTTACTTGCCTAAGTGTCTTTAAAAAGATGTTCATTGAGCAAGTCTGTTTTGAAATGTATCAGGTTAAATATTTAAAGTTAATTTACTGACATATCTGTCACTGTGGTATGAGAAATGATGTTGTAACACCACCTAACCAACTCATTCAGGCTGAAAAAAGCCAGTAAACCCTTTTGTCTTTTGTACTTTTAACTTCTACTTTTATTGTAGAAGTGTCCTGACATCCTGCATGGAGTGGTCTGCTCTTAGTCATTTTGGATGATAAAAACAGACCAGTCAATTTGATATTTTTTTTTTCCCCCCAAACCTCCATACTCTAGCACAATACTATAGGAGTTTGGATTATAAACAGCAAAAGAAAATATTTGCCTAGGCAGAAAACCTAATTCCATAATAAAACCCAAATTTTGGGAATATTTGTACTGGTCTTAGTTGTTTTTTTTCTGAAGCTTATAAATAAGTTATGTGTTTTTTTTTTTTCCCCTTCTGTGTGCTTCCTTCCTGCTACCCACCCCCCTGCTTCCCTAGTCTCACCCTAGGCAACTCAAAACCTTAACTAATATGCAAATTCTTGGGTTTTGTTTCCAGTAGTTTGCAAAACAAGGAGTCCAAACATTTTCCTAATGGATGGAAAACACATTGTGAAAGTTTTAAATTAAATAAAGCCAGCAAAAGAGCTAGATCATAGATGGCTTTTACAGTCAGTTATTTTAATAATAGTATTAAAATTATTTCATGGCTATATTTTACACAGACTGTGAATACACGGTCTATGAATGATTGGAAATATTATAATACTACATATATTCCCAGATATACTGTATGTGAAATTGCAGCAGCACAGGGTGTGTGCAGTGGTCTGTGTTCAGATGGTTAAGCAATGAAGAGAAAGTACATACATAAGCAGACAATCTGCTGCTTTATGGTGATTATAAAATAAAGATTTAATGACACATAAATGAAGTCTGAAAAATAGATTCTGCTCAATATATTTCATGTACTTTCCTTTAGTCATTATGTATTCCATTTCCAAATGCTTAAGGATAAAAGCAGCAGTAGAGTTTATCATCTTTTAAGTTTTAGGCTTGTTTAGTAAGTCTAGTTAGACTTAAGCTCATAGCTATGTACGCTGCTATCCTAACTACCACATGATTTTGCATGAAAAAAGAACTCAAAAAAGAAGACAAGGAAGCCACCCTCAAGCTTTACATTAAAGAAAATCTCTGTGTGCTGCCAGCACCCACTTTCCCTCAGTAGTGTGGGTGCCCCCTCCCATTTCCACCCAGCTGGGGGGCAGAGGTGCCAGGCACAGCACACTGGAGTGTGTGCAGCTGGGGCAGAGCCCGTCAGTTATGCAGGGCTTTGGCACAGCCACCTGTGTTCTTGCTGAGCAAATTTCAACCAACTTTTCCAGAGGCTAAACAGAGCTTAAACCAAATGACAGAATTCCATGTCTAAAATGAAAACTGTGCCTCGCATGTAGCTTCCATATATGCAGCAAGTTAGAATTTTTTCAGACCTTAACTTAAACAAAATGTCAAAGCTCTCACCTTATATTTAGATTCATCTTTCCTTTTCCCTTTTTTTTTCTTTTAAAACAAGTATCTCAGGATGCTTCATGCATATTATGGATCCTAAAGTTACAAATACCCCTTTTAGCTATTAAGGCCTTGGAATAGTTTGTAAACATATGGATGAGGGACTTAACTTTAACTGTCTTTTTAGGAGAAGCTTGGAGGCATAGCCTCTCAGTTATCTCTGGAGGAATGCAGTCTGAGACTGACTGCTAAAGAACTGCTGGCCAAGCAAAAGATTTGGCAGAATTTCAAAGGAGCTCCCTTTCACCAGTTTTCTTAATTTATTTTTTTTTTGAAACTGCCCTTATAACTAGTGCTGTGTTCCTGTAAAAGAGGTGAATTTTTAGAATACTTTTTGTAATACTGGCTGAATGATGTGCCAGAAAACGTGTAACATGTTTCTAAGTGTACACAGAATGTCAGGTGGCAACAACATTTAAATTTTGTATCTAGTGTGGTTCTAGGTATTACTTAAAACAAGATATCACAAATATTATGTATATTTAGGCATAATTTTGTGTAATATAAGAACATTCTTCAATATAGCTCTGAGTGTTCCAGCAGATAAATTGTGCCATGTCCATTCCCCTTTCCTAAATACCCGTGTGAAAAGACCAGTTACATTCTTGTGCCCTTTGAATCACTTTTGTAACTCCCAGGTCCTCTGTTGCTCCACTCTGGATTGCCCCGTGACACTTTCACCAGCCTCAGACCACAACACTCGGCACTACGGGCGCTGGCTCCTTGGAGCCTCATGGGCAGAGCTGGCCCCCTTCAGATGCCTTTGGGGCAGAAACGCAGCAGTATGGCTGTGTTTCATATTAAATACCAAGGTAGCCCTTGGTTGCAGAGTTGGTTCTCTCAGCAGGGTTGCTGCACATGTTTAAGACAGAAGAACGGTTTGACAGAGGTGGACTAGAATAGTAACTCCAGAAAGAAAGGCATGTAAAGGACAGAGCAGTGAAAATGCACTCTGGCTGCAATGAAAGGGAGATTAAAGCCCTCTCCAGGAATCCTAATTCCACTTGTTACAACTGCAGTCCAGCACACTGACACCTACAGGGCAGACATCAGGTCTGTGAACTGCTCAAGGACCTCCTTACCCACTCTGCAGCTTCCTTATGCTAGCAGTGATGCCCGGACCATTAAAGATTCTGTTCTCTGAGGTACTGCTGGAGGTCAGAGTTTTTTGGCCTTCTTTTTCCATCTTCTGGTGTGAACAGTCTCTGTTCTGGAACGGTCTCCCTTTGGCAGCTTTTGTTGCCTGTCCTGCTCCCGTGATTATTCTTCCAACATTTCCTGCCGTGACTGCATTCTGCTCCTGAGAAAACCCTACATAAAAATAAAGACATTTACAATTGTACAGCCAGCTTTCATGCTTAATTTCATCTGCAATTATCATTGGCAGAAGTCAGAAATGGGTATAATCTATAGAAATTAATTTCTTGCATGTAGAAAGACTCCTATGGCAGAGATGGAGAATTTTACTACTTCTCTCTTCATACATGTGTCAAAAAAATGTTACCCTTCATTTATTTATCTCTAAATGATATAATTATATTGGATACAAACCAGGTGAAAGACAAATACTCTGGATGATGTCACTGCTAGAAACATGGTAGTACAGGAAAAACATTTCTGGAATTGCCCTTACCAGCCTTTCTCTTGGTCAAAGTTCCTTTCATTGCGTTCTGCCTGCAACTCCTCCCTCTGCAAATGCTGTGTCTTTAAGAACTGCAGCCTCCGACTTGCCTTCCTCTTGTCCTCCTCTGGCAAGAAGGATTCTGTCCTGCGCCTCTCTGCCCCAGCAGCCTGGAGCAGTGCCATATGCTGCAAAGCTCTGTCTTTGTGCTCCAACTGTTTCTCCAGCCCTTGCAATGTTCTCTGACGCAATTGCTGCCTATTTTCAAAACAAAATTTCTCACATTTTTTGGAAGGAAAGAGCAATAAAAGAAAAAGACAGTGCTTAAGACACAAAGCAGATATTCCGGCAATCTGTGCTCAGTTAATATTCCAGGACTTTTTGTTAGGTTACGAGGGTTAAACCTGTGTCCTAAACAGAAGTGGCAAAACCCCCAAATGGGCTGGTGTCTGATGTCAGCTCACTGCAGTCATCTGTTCACCTGACTACATAACCTGGTGCAGCCATGTGTTCTTGGCCCTGAAGGCCAGGAACTGAGGAAATGGATTGTATGGACAGGGCTGTAGGACTAATCTGGACAACTTGGGGGCCATGGCTATGTGTATTGGTGGTGGAGCCACGGGGGCAACAGAAGAGATGGAACGAGGTGGATCATGGGGGTGAGGACCTGCTAAGCTCAAGTGGACTGTGGGGCCAGGGGCAGGGAACAGGGATTTGAGAGGGAAAAGGGCTTCGGGTCTGAGGATGAGAGTGAAGAGAATTTGCCCTTGGAGGTAATGCTAAAGGCTATGGGTCCATGTGTACCCACTCACCCATTCCTCAAGCATCAGTTTTATTCCCATCAGTAAACCACCATGATCACGCTGCAGAGACTAGCATAAGGCACAATGTGTGATGTTCAGAGACTGCATGAGAGCACCAGGGAGTAGACACCACCAATCTTCTGACATGTACTACAAAAACCAGATAGCTCCTAGGTATCACCTCTGGTCGTCCCTGCACAGCTGGTGTCGGATGCCATCTGCCTCTCGCTGCTGCTCCCTCTTCAGCTGCCTCTGTTTCTCTTGCCACCTTTTGTGCTCAATCTTGTCTCTGTTGAAGTCCATCTCTTTCACTCTCTCCTGAGATGCACCATTAAGGATTGATTTCTAAGAAAAAAAAAGCAAAACTGAACCCTTAATCTCATCAGTATATTTTTCTAATGCAAACTGTAAACCTACAAAACCAGAACAGCTTAGTCTTCTAATATCACTCCTGAGCTCTGGAAGCCACACTGGCTCATGAATACTGTAGTGTCACTTCCCAACCATGAAAACGCTGAGGATGATGCTAAAACCTGTACAGCAGATTAGGCTTAACCAACAAAGAGGTGCCTGAAATTCCAATTTTAAGAGTTCTTCATAGGTCAGTAGGCTGCGCTGTTCTTGTTGCTCCAGTGTGGAGCTCATG